TTCTCCTCTTGCCTCCACACTTTCCCAACATCAGGGTCTTTTCCAGCGAGTCTTCTCTTCTCATGAGAAAAAAAAAATCCATGATAGCATTTATAAATGATTAATCATTTGCAGCTGGAAGGCATTGATTTGGTTGTGCTTCTACAGGTCTAATACTCTTTAATCTCTCTCTCTCTCTTTTATACACACACACACACACACACACACACACACACACACAGAGAGAGAGAGAGAGAGAGAGAGAGCAGCACTCAGATACACAGATTTTTTTTCCTGAACTAAGTATGAGGTAGAGAGACAGAGACAGAGAGAGACAGAGAGCAGCACTCAGATGCACAGATTTTTTTCCTGAACTAAGTATGAGGACCATCACGGCAGTTCTCATTCTCTGTAGCTGCTAGACATGATCAGAGCTTGGAAGAATTAATTATTTTTTAACTGCCACTCCTCAAACTCCCAACCCTGGAGGATTTCAGGAGCGAGAGCCCCTCACAGTAACTTTCTCAGGCGTCGTGATGGGGCTGCGAAACAGCAGCTAACATCTCCACAATGTGCGGCCAAGAATACAGCTTTGATCCAAGGGAAGTTATTAGTCAGCATCACAACATGTTTCGAGAACCCAGCGGGATCCAGAAGTTCCATCCGAGGACGGCAAGCATTTTTTCTTCCCAAGAACGTCTTGAACGTATTTTCAAGTTGAAAGTTTGCACACACAGGTGTGAAATTGTCTGCTTCACACTTGTCAGGAAAGTCGAGTGCAGTGCTGAATTTCTCAGTTTGCCACTCATGGATGGCAAAACAGCAAGCACAAAACGACTGCCAAACCTTCTTTTAAGGCAAATTTTTATTTAAAAATGTGTGTAGATACCCACTAATTGTTTTTAATGGAAATAAAAATTCTGACGCTGCAAGAAGTGTTAGGGAAACCACAGATTTAGCTTTCTTTGAAAACAGGCTTCTGGAAAATAAGGTGGTTTTTGCTTTGATTAGTAGGGAAAGAAATTACAAGTAAAGGCTGCTAATAATACATTGGCGTGGCTGTTGAAAAGTCCAAGACATGACGGAGGAAGATAAATCAGCTTAAAGTTCCTCAGCCCCACCCTGCAAAAAAGCAGAGGATGTCCGACACAGCTCCGAGCTGCGAGTGATCCGACCATTGATTGAGCTGCCTGACTTTGTATAAATCAATGAGACAGATCAAAGGAGAATCTCCCCAGCTCGGTCTTGGGGTGCAGTTTTTATTTATGATACCTATGTCAAGAGAAATAATTTCATAAAATAACTGGAAATGCTTCTGATAGAGATCCAGTCTAAACCTTTTAGGAATCTTCAAGGTGCCTGGCATTGCTGCCTGGCTTACGGTGACAAACCCCATCCTCAGCTTTTTCTGTATTGCCTGTCAGATCCTCTGCGTGAGTCAGAGATATCCTTGATCCATATTCATTCTCTTGGCCAGCAGAGGGGGGGCGTCATGCTATGACCTGGACTCACAAGCTAACGTCTCATAAATTAAACTGATCGGAGTTTAATTTATTGGGGAAATTGCTATGGGGGAATGTTAGAATCTTGTGGGGTCCATGTCCGGATCAACAGAAATGTACACCGCTCCAGTGTATAACTCAATGGATCTGGTTTATAGCTCATTATCCTCAATGCTTAGAATGGCAACCCAACCACTTTGCTCGTCAAGCAATGTTCTGGGGCTGGAACCAGGCAAGATAAAAGACCATATTGTCAAGATAAGATGACAGCACAGAGTCGTTTTGTAAAGCCATATTCTTTGGCCTTGATAAGAAGTGTGTTTGTGCAAACAAGAGGCCTAACACCCCCCTGTGTCTCCTGATATGGCCAGGATAAGGAGAGGGTCCCGGTTTGTGGGGAGAGAGAAAAGTTGACAGTGACACCCATTCTTTTAGGACAGGGGAAATCTCCCGTAGCCTAAGACAGAGACACAATTGAGATATAGTCCCTTTTTACATTTCTTTCTTTCTTTCTTTTTCGGTCTGGTTCTGTTTTCCTAGTTGGAAAAGGAGGCAGTGGGAAAGAATGGATGCTTGAAAAGACAAAAGGGTGCAGTTTGTGTTGTTCAGTCGAGACAATCGCAGGACGTGGAATGGATTCAGAAACGTGGAACGTGGCCAGCTGCCGACAGATTTACTGCTCTTTCCTGCACCTTGTTGTCGGCTCTCCCTGTTGATCCTCCGCTCTTCCACTCTGTACGGAACAAAGGAATGCAACTCCGCAGGAGCGCGGCCAGTGTTTACACGAGAGATGTGTGCACGAGGTGAAAAACCCTGGACGGCCCACCCTATGACACTTGGTCCCATTGCATGTGCGAAGAGGGAACACAACACCTTCCCGGCTTCCTTCCGAGTGTGGGAAGAAAGAGGTCCTGGGCTTTCTGGTTCCTATCAGTCACAGGATGGGTTCTGTGCCATTCCAGCTGACAACCGCTCCTTTCCACCTAGAGGCAAAACAGATGGATTTATTCTGAGGGGTTTCCATCATCTCATCCTCCCTGCCTTCTTCCTGTGAAGCGTGGGGTGAGCTCTGTTCAAAACAGCAAGGACTGGGATCCTTTGCAAACCACGTAAGGCAGCGCCAGGTGGCCCCTGCAACCCCAAAGGGGTCAATGATTAGCTTAGGAAAATGATTTGGGGGGTGCGAGGGAAAGAGAGGCCGCGTAGAGCCATCGATAAAGGTTTTGGTCTAGAACCCAGGACACCGGGGTCCAAATCCTGGCTCGGCCATGGGAAGTCAGAGGAATTGCAACGATGCCCCTTGAACCTCTCCCACACCTTGAACACGTTTTTCATGCCAGCATAAGCCACAAGCGATTTCATGGTATTTAACAGCAACGCTGTCTCTCGGAATCGCCCAGCCAGCATTATGGGAGCTGGAGTCAGACCACTGTTTCAAGATCTGGCGAGGACCAAGGCAGAACTAAAGGGCATGTGAGGAAAGGTGGAAAGGCACGGTGTGGGGTCAACACAACAAAATGAAAGTTATAGGTGTTAAGTTAGATTTAAGAATCTCCTGGAGGGAGGCAACCTGTGTTAGGAAGGGGGCTGTCAGAGCCTTGGCTCCAGGTCGTCGGCTGTGAAAATGGGAACTCATCGGTAGCCCCTTTCCTGCTGGCGTCCTTCAGAATGAGGGCTGGGACCTGCCCTGACCTGGACTGATTGTTTTCCTAAGACATCTTCGTCATACATCATTATTTATGGCCATGACTTCAAAGGAGCTCAAAAGGCAGCCAAATTGACTCACTGGGTTGAAATGGACTGTGAGAACCACACGGAAAGGTTGGAAAGAGAGGGGTGGAGGGACATCAGCTCTCTTTGAAAAGGCTCTTTGGAACATTACCATCTTTGCCGTCTTTATTGACTCCTGTCAACCTGGGGAGACAGTGTGTGTTATAACCTCTGTGATGCCCTTATGTACACTCAACAAAGGAACAGAAAGAAAGCAGGAAAGCTCTCAGCCTCTGCCTTTTCTTCCCACTGAAACTGCACATAGATATGTCATATGGGATAGAAGGCTGTGTTTTGGACATGGCTCCCACTCCCTGGACCCTGGAAGATCACCTATTTCCTTGTCTAAATCAAGGCAAGGCAGCCACCAGCTCCATGACAGCTGCCTTCACACAGGGTCACCAGAGAAAAATTTATGGAGCGCCCTGGTTGATCTGGCCACCGTGCACCCCCAAAATTTAGGGATGCCCAGGAATTTCAGTGGCTTACCTTCTGCAGTGTAGCGGCCTGATTTAAATGACTAAGTGGACCCTAACCCGTCACTAAAGTTTACAGTACAGCTTGTGTATTTTTATTTGTTTTTTGGCCATCAAGTCAGAACTGACTTATCGTGACCCTAACAGGGCTTTCAAGAAAAGCGAGATCTTTTAAGGAGTGGCTTGACCAGTTCCACTCCCCCAGTGAGCTTCTGTGGCCAAGAGGGGATTCAAACCCAGTCCTCCTGAGTCCTAGTCAGCCTCTGTATCCACCACAACACACTGGATATCTAATACAGCTTTAGCTTTTAACATGCAGCATCAAAAATTCATATCCAAATGTGTATTAAAAGGTGCATTTTACTCTATGGTACACATTGAAACCCAAGTTTTAAATGGCAGTGTGGATTTCTGCAGATCCTTCCCTCCCACACGGATGAGAAACAAACACGCACATTTCTGTTAGCTTGAGTTCCAAAATCTGGGGTGCTCTTTCACCCGACACACCAACGTCTTGAACTCAAGTTGCATTAGTTTACAGAGTGAACTCCGGATTTTAGAGAGTGCTCCCAAATGACGTAACAGAGGGATCACACATCAGGGTTCCAAAGTAGGGCCACACCAAGTCTGACATCATCTTTTTTTTTTTTACCCAGTGCTATGGCAAAGTTTTGTAACTGTTTAGTAGTTCTCCCCAAAAGAGTGTAACTGGAGTATCTGGGGTGAAGCCCTGTAATGAGTGACTTAACACCGACACTGTCCGTGTCATTTAAGCCAAATCAAATTCAATTCTTATGACCACACATCTGCCACTGAAAAAGCTAAATGTTGTTCCCAAGCTAAAAGAGTATTGCACTCAGGGACTGACTGAAAACCACCTCACTCCCACTAGACGACCCATCTATGCCATGCTCCTACTAGGGTCCTTGCATCCAAATCGCATCCACGCCTATTTAGCAGTCTCCATTAAGAAATCAAAGTAAAATATCCCCCTACCTGATGTCTCTCCTCTTCCTCCTGCAAGGAAGCTTTCAATTTTGTTATTTTTGCTAAGAGACATAGTACACCAGCACTGTTCTAACAGACTTTAAAAAAACCACACAAAACTTTTGCTTGCTTCCTCTGCCTCTCCACAGAAAAGTTTGTTTTCCGAATATCACAGAGTGACTCAGCTGTCTTCTTAAACCACTTAACAATATCAGGAAACTGTAAGTCGAAGGGAAATTGAAAGCCGCAAGTTCAATTCCAGTGTTCGCATGTGCTGGAGAGAAACCAAAATGGAGCAATCCTCCCGGGACCTAAAAAACAGTCGTCCCTGAATGGGATCCAGAAAGGTACAGGTACGAACGTTCTGGAGACAGGCTGATTCATTATAACACTCATGTCACTTGGCCACCAGTAACAGGAGTTACTGTCCCTGTAGTGGACCAAGCAGGGGGCAAATGCTCATTGGATCACACCTATTATTCGTGGAGGAAGGGATGCTCGAAAAGGTAAGGTATGTGCTGTAAAACACCACATGTTTGCAAATTTCTGCAATTCGTAGATTTTGATAGGATCCCGAATTTCAGAGTTGGTCATCAACAGAATTATCACATGCGAAAGGGACACAAACTGTAAGCAATCTGCACATCTCTAATCCTTTCTCACCAAAACTATTGACCCAGGAGCATGTGGTCTGGGAATTCGCGAGGGGTGTTCGTCACTGCCGTTTTATTTTATTGTGCTATTTATAGGAAGCGTTTATATATTGCCTTTCTAAATATTCCGTCAGGGTGGCGTGCACAAATCTAAACAATTAAAAAAAGAGAGAGAGTATAAAACAGGAAAGCCAGCCACAAAAACTACCTTTAAAGCATTAAACACAACACTAATGCCGCCATAAAATCACCAGGATAGGACCGTATAACTCCTAATGCAATGTTTTACATCGGCATGTTATCATCCAAAAGCCTGACAATAATTCTAGAGCTAATGTTTGTCAAAGCGACTCAATAAAATCTGGAGTTGGATTGTTAGGCCCGTTTTATAACTATATATGGAAGTTGGCGCGCTGTGCTCATCAAAATGCATTTTTTTCCGGGGGCAGGATCTGTGTGCATCTGTTTTCCTGTCTTTTGATATCTAAGGATCAACCTCTTTGTTGTCCGCATATTCTTCCCTATTCCTCATGTATGGGATCTGAAGACTCCCAAGTAACTGCAACTTCTATTTCAACCATAAACATTTTCGCCGAGCAAATGCTCCATTAGACCCTCTCAAGGCGGCTAGCAGCTCCATGGGCATCTGCTGGTGTTTGCTTTGTTGGTTTTAAGGCGCCAACGGCATTTATTCCATTTATCTCATTTCCCCCCTACAAAATGCACGTGGGCCTGACGCTGAAGCGATCGTGGCTGATACGGAACAATGTGACTCCAAAATCCACTCGTTCTGCAAGACTTGTTTGAAGTGGAGAGAAAGAGTCAACCTGAGGCTGAAGTCCTAAGAATTCCAGGGTTGAGGGCTGAATCGACAGGACTGGGATCATCTTGCACATGGGATGAATTCATGTGCATTCACGCTCCCCCTCCTAACAGCAAATGCCGTAAAAGCAGGGGCTGAAACACTTGGCAGCGCTTCCATTCATTTTAGAAGGTCTTTCTTCACCATTTTTTGGAAGACAGCCGTGTGTGTTTGTGTGATTGTCTAAGTGAATAACTGACTGATTGACTGTCTGATGGTCTTTCTTCACCATTTTTTGGAAGACAGACGTGTGTTTGTGTGTGATTGTCTAAGTGAACAATTGACTGATTGACTGACTGATTGATTGGTGTGTTGCCCTTCTTGCAGAACTGAAACCAGTGTCAGTTCATCATCTACTGGATTGTTGTTTTTAAATCAAACAGCTTTGCAACGCAGTAAGTTGCAAATACTGAAACAGAATTAAACTCGTATTATTAAAATGCAATTAAGGTAAAGAAAACTTAATTAAAACACGAATGCAACTTTACTTAAAATAAGAGAAGGAAGACCAGCACATCGGCTAAAATTCAGAGGTTTGAGGCAACTAGGAGCCAAAAAGCTTGTCTAAATAAGAACACCTTTTCCTGCTGGCCGATGGACAACGGGAAGGGGGCCCACAAACCATGGACCTGGAGACATATGGCTGTATCTTACACCAGGTGAGATGATTTGTCCAACTGCTTTTTTCCCCCTTTTCACTTCATTATAATGACTCCTCACCTTTCCTCCATGGAATTCAAGCCTCCCTCTTCTATCCTTTGACACGCTGGATCCATTCTGGATCCACAGATGGAGTGCTTGACCTAGTCCACAGACCGTAACATCAGATGACCATTCAAGGTGTAAAAATGAAGCTAAAATAAAAAAGCACCCAGTCGATGTATAAAGCACAATGACATGGCTTTGGACCACTAAGAGAAGTAGTGTACAATCTACCTGGTTGGTCCCAGCAGATCAACAAGACTTACTTAGACTCGGAGGAAAGGCTTCTGGGTGAAAGGGCAACAGGAGGGTTGCAAAGCGTCTCCTGCTGGGCTGTAGGTGGATTTTGTGTTGGAAATCATTTCCAGAAAGATGAAGAAACTGGAAAGAACCTGGTTTGGTGGGACTGGGTGATCTCCCATCCCAAGCTTTGTTTAAGACGCACAAAGAGACCATGGATAGACCAGTATTTCTCATCTCTTCCTCCCATCCCTGCATGTAATTTGGCAATCCGAGACGGTGGTTAAGTAACAAGGAAGAAAGGGGGTGGGGGAGAAATAGCAGAGAGACAGTGTGGTGTAGGGGTTAGAGCATGAGCTAGGGCTGGAGGGAAAAAAAGATTCAGATCTTTCCGTCTGAATCATGCTGAGCAATCTTGGATACTTACTCTCAAGGAACCTAAGTGACTGTGCAGGACTGTTGTAAGAATAAATATATGGTGTATGTGTTTAGAGAGAGAATCATATTTTCCATTTTAAGCTTTTTGGAGAAAAAGTGGGCTACAAATGCCATTGATCGACTGGACATATTTCTCAGTGGAGCAATCAAGCAGGTAAGATCTAGGACAATGTTGGGAGAAGAGACCAAATGGGAGTTCAGGAAGTCTTCTTTTTGGGGGTGACCAAGCTGTGGTCCCTTCCATGTTGCTGGAGAGTTCCTGTAAATTTCCTGAATCTTGATTCTCATTTCAAGACTGCAATTGAAGGGCTTTGATAGCCAGGACAATCGGGGGGGGGGGGAGGGCCAGGTTCCCACCCCCATTCCTACTCCAGTTGGCCTTATAGTTAGTGAGGCTGAGGGTAGAGAGCAATATACATAATTGAGAAGCATCCCTAGCAGAGAAGATCTGCAAAGCTCAAATTGTCTTGTTTTGGAAAACCTCGCCGTCGTGTTGGACCATTGAGTAAGCCTCCTTTCCCGTAACAGCTAATATCGACGCAACCTGGGGGCAATTCTGGTTGAAAGATATAATTTTTTTGCGGAATGTGCCACAGGGGAGTGGGGTGAAAAACGTTATCGCATCCCACAGGTATACATCCAAGCCAGGCAGACTGGAGGGGTTAACAAAATATGCCACCGAATTCGAGATCAAGACCAGATCAAAGAAGAGACACGCACGCACCCCCACTTTCCCCTCAGGGGGGAGCTAACCAAAGTTATTTCCTCTGCCAGAGACAGAAAAGAACACAGGATTGGGACTGGAGAAGAAGTCTCGCTCTCTTGCTCGGGGTGATGGAACGGATTAGCCCGCGTGGCGTTTGCCAAGAAAGCTCAAAGAGATGCACATTCCGCTGGGCTCTCGGATTAGAATCCAGCCGCTGACACAGATGTTTGGAAGCCCAGGTTGTGTTGAGCGAGGGGGGGGCAAGGATGAATGCTCTCGCGGCAGTCCACAGCAGTCTGAGGTTGGACATGGCATCAGAAAGACAGGCGGGAGAGAGGGACTTGGCCCCCTTGATTTTTATGAACAAGGGGTAAAAGGAGGGCAAGGGTAGATGCTTCTCAGGGGTCATACTCTCTGAGAGAGAGAGAGAGAGAGAGAGAGAGAGAGTCCCGCCATTCTGAATTCGGGATGGCCAGTGATTATGCTGGTGTGGAAGGGGTGGGAACTGTGGTCTAAAAAAGTAACTCTCTCAGCTTTTAGGCAACAGAGATTCTTGTTTGGCCTCTAGATTTAAGCAAGGTGGTCTAATTTGCCCATCCTAGATGGTGGCGCTGCGGGTTAAACCACAGAAGCCTCTGGGCTGCAAGGTCGGAAGACCAGCGCCGTTAGATCGAATCCACACGACGGAGGGAGCTCCCGTCGCTTGTCCCAGCCCCTGCCAACCTAGCCATTCGAAAGCATGTAAAAATGCGAGTAGATCAATAGGTACCACCTCGGTGGGAAGGTAATGGCGTTCCGTTTCTAGTCGTACTGGCCATGTGACTACAGAAACTGTCTATGGACAAACGTTGGCTCTACGGCTTGGAAACGGGGATGAGCCCCGCCCCCTAGAGTCGGACACGACTGGACTAAATGTCAAGGGGAACCTTGACTTTGACCTAAATGAATATGTTCAGGATCCATGGAACCCAGATCCTTTGGACTGGTGACTGTTAGGAATTTTCTGAAGCTGTCTTCATCATTTACAAACAGCTTTAAAATCTGAATAATGTACCCGATATATAGCCTGTTCCTGTTGACTGTCATGGCTTTATGCTCTACCTTTAAACCCGCTACAGATCTAACAAGAAAACAGGTATCTTAAATGTGGACTGTACATCCCACTTATTTAGCTTGTGCAGCAGATTATAGTTTTCCAGAGATTCTTCAAGGAAACATAACTGCCTGCCATAACAACATACTTTGTTTTTGTGTGTCATTGTAATCATTGGTAAAACAGGTTTTACAGCTTTTTGAAATGTTAAGAAACCTACCAGTGCTGTTTCACTAAAGACCATGGATAAAGGAATGGAGATGTCTACTTTAGCTGCCCAGAGGAGTCAGTTGACTAGATGGGCGGGGTATAAATTCAATAAAAAATTTTAAAAAATAGTGCAGACTTGTTCTTTGGTGGAAGAAAAATGCAGTTTTAGAAAGTGAAGGGAAAGCTGCTCTCAAAGCAATTAGAAGAAATAAAGCAACAGTCACAGAGAGACCAATAGAGCTCATTCAAGCTACAGAAACCAAGTCTGTCAAATTCTTAGCAAGGAGTGGGAAAAGAGGAAGACCAAACATGAGATCAACTAACTTGGTAAAGGAACCACAGCTTTTAGTCTGCTGGCCTTGAGCAGACCTTATGGAAGTCATTAACTCATAGAGTCACCATACACTGGAAGCAACTTGAGCGCTCATAACAGATGCACACATACACACAAGGGTGCACTGCAGATAACAAAAATTTTATCCTACTACCTCCAATTCTTGAGGGAAAGCTACCACCTGTAAATGACACAGAGAGAAGAACACTCAAGAGGGAAGAAAAATCAGGCAAGCCTAATTAGTGACAAAACAGATCATGATGATCAGACAAACAAAGTGTGTAACGGCTGTTGAAACCAGCTCTTTGAAAGATGCCCGGGAGGCAAAAGATAACTTAATGAGCGACAGTGCAATTTAGCTGGCATTGTTGAAGACAAGAGAACGGGAAGTGGAAAGCCCATGTTTGCAATTTTCGGTCGGCATCCTGCAAGGTTTCTCAACCGACGCTTCGCAGAAAGAGCGATCTACGATTCAAAACAGTGGGGCATGCAATTTTCACCAAATCTGACCGTGCAGGCAACTGAGCGCAATTCTGTGCGAGCATGAATCAGACTTTTCTTCTTCTTCAAGATGTGCTAGGAAGAATTGTGTTGAGACCAGCAAAAATCCACTGGAAAAATGGCCACAGACAGCACCGCCTGCCTTTGCCCCCGAGGGTTGTGACCTTTTGAGGACACACAGAGTTCTCTGTTTTTAGCAGCTGGGTAACAGGAGGAAAGAACAGCCCAGTTTCCCCTGGCATTTGGAGTCAAAAAACAGGGGGAAATTCCGGGTGTTGATTCTTGCATGCTAGACAGCTGAGAGATGTAAGAGGTTCTCTCTCATCTTTGCTGAGATGATAGCAAAAGAGTACCCCTCTGTGATCCTCAAACAGATGTTTCTCTGTTGTGTTGTCAAAGCAGCTTGGGAGACATCTCACTCCACTCTGGAGAGAAAAACCCAGCATCACTCAATGGCAACTGATTGGCAGGAGATTTGAGAGAAGCAGAAAGCAATGTGTTGCCCTGTGGTGCACTGTTAGCTTATGGAACTTCAGGCTACCAGGTGTGGGAAACCCTCTCCTTTTGTGATGCCTTTAAAGAGGGATCAGGGAATTATTTGGGATTATATTTATACTTCTTTGGAGGGGCTCCACCACAGATTCAGTGAAAAGACCAGAATCTTTCCTTCTATTCTTTTTTTAGGTAGGGGGAGGGGGAGATTTATGGTGGCAGCAGCAGCATTAAGAAAAGAAAACAGTGTTTTTGTGCAAAACGAATTTTTGCTAATGCTTTGCAAAAAAGAAAAAAATGAAACCCTATCTTGAAATGTGAGCAATGCACAAAAAAAAAATCATAATTTTGCAGAGCCAGGAGAACATCTGTGAAACTTTTCACTTCCAATGTCAAGAGCAAAAGAACTGAAGATTGGCACGGATTACCACCATATGAAAGCACAGGACTTTTGTGGGTGGGAAAGGACATAAATAACAAGAATATTGAGAAGGAATATGAGATCAAGGAAGGTGAGGGCAAGGAATGCCTTCCACTTCCACAGCGGATTTCACTTACTTGGTCCGAATGCAATGTTCCAGGGGAGGAGTTAAGTCATCATCCTTGTCCTCAACATATGGCCGAGACGTATCTGCAAGAACAAACCTGGCATGTTATTATCCTATTCCCAGGGTTGGACCAAAGGGTGGCGGAAATGTCTTAAGGGCTGTCTACGCATAGTAGAACAGAGGAAGAAGAAAAAAGGTTTAGGACCGTGTTTCCCAACCTTGGTTCCTCAAATGTTCTTGGACTACCACTTCCAGAAATCCTGCTCTTCACAGCTAGTGGTGAAGGCTTCCGGGAATTGCAGTGCTAGCTACATGCATGAAGCAAACTTAAAACAAGCATCTAAAACAAAAAAACTAAAACAGGCAAAACTAAAATAGGAGGCGGTTACATAAAAAGGCTGATGGTCTCAAAGTTCTGAAGTTGGCAGAAAGTCTGGAGATTCGAGGCTGGGAACCATTGGTTTAGGAGATGGAAAAGAAGCAGGGGTTCATCCCCCCCCACATGCGCATATATATAGTGATAGTGATTCCAGCAGTGGAGGCATTCAAGAGAAAACTGGACCAGCATCTTTCAGATCTGCTTTGACTTCGATTCCTGCCTTGAGCAGGCGGTTGGACGATGGTCCTATAGGCTCCTTCCAACTCCATTATTCTGTAATTCTATGATAAAAGGGCAAGTGTTTATGTATGGGATACAAAAGTTTTTCTCCTTCCCTTACTTCCCTCCTGATAATGTACACTTGCTCAGGAGAATCTGGGTAAGTCTTGACAACAAACTGCAATTCCTTAGAGCTGGTGGCTTTCTGGGCTGTGTGCGCGATCAGGTATGTATTTAGGAACCCAAGCAGCACCTCGTTAATGAGTGCCAATTTGTCACCAAGTCTTATGTACTTCCTGTTCTAAAAGCATAAACTGCCAATAGGATTCTGGCCGTAAGAATAGAACACAGAGTCACCCAACGTAGCTAAATGATGGCTGATTCAAGACACCCCATAGAAAGTCCTTTTTTCCTTGGCATGGGAAAAATACTTCTAGATTCCTCATTCGCTCCTATTTTTTACCTGCCCTAATGCAACAATCTCGTGGATAATTTTTTTAATCCCACAAGGTTCTGTGTCTTTAAGGCAAGATTGAAATAAAGCTCCCCCGGGCCAGATTTTCGGTAATTTACACAGCCCATCTCTTGTTTCCTTTCCCTTTGAGAAGAGAGGCGTGTGCGAATTTGTAAAGGCCAAGTTCCCAAAAGTAGATCTCCTTAACATTAAATGACAGTGCCATCTTCTCACAGATGTTTATCTAGACATCGGGCCCATTGGCAGCAACCGTGTGTTCTTCTCAGGGGAGAATCGCAATGAATCTGCACCGTGTGGATCTCCAGCCCCCTTCTGGTAATACAGGGAGAAGAGAAGAGGTCAGTGGTGTCGCTCTGGGCCAAATGCTCTCAGAAATCAACAGGAGAATGGAAGAGAATGCCAGAACTCAGCACCAAATTCCACTCCTCCTTCGCCTGCGAATTCCACCCCTTGGATAGACAGCTCTTGAGGGACACCCACTCCCGTCCCTCACTTCCTTTTGTGAACAGCGCTTCTCAGCTCCAGCGCGCTGGGCGGTTGGAAGGGACAACATGGTTAGACGCGTGGGCGGGTTGCGAACGCAAGGGGTTTTTCATAGCTGCAGCTGCTCCGTGACAACACGCAAGACAATCAAATTCTGGGAAGGCTGAGCCTTCCGGGTACTTACAGGGACTGGGAGACCGAAGGCAGACATAAAACGGACTTTAGAACAGCATCCAAAGTAGGAAACCCACATGGGCTACAGGGGTAGGAAGACATCAGGTGTAAAGAATGTATTTATTTATTTATTTTATTTTATTTATATCCCGCCTATCTGGTCAAGCGAGGACCACTCTAGGCGGCTAATGTGTTTAGCGGTAGTTGAGGAGTGGGGCAATGTATGACATCACTGTAATTGCTTCTGTTTCCAGTCATATTCTCAAATGTGTGTTTTGTGCTATCAAATAAGAACTGACTTATAGAAACCTTAACATGGCTTTCAAGGTAAGTGAGATATTTTACGGAGTGGTTTTACCACTTCCAGTTCCACTTCCCCCCCCTCCCGCAGTGAACTTCTATGGCCAAGAGTGGGATTTACCAAGATTCTCCAGAGTCCTGGTCTGGCACTCTGTTCACTACATCACACTGGGAATCCAACGTTCTCAAATAGCTGTCCTGAAATGTCATGACTGTAGGTCTGCTCCATAGAGGGGTGGGGCATTAGTGGAGATGGTGGGGAGGTTTGGACTGCCAACTTTTTTTTTGCCAACTTTTTTCTGGTCAGCCCCTGTGCGAACATAATATTGTAGTAGATGGCCAACATCTTGGTTGGATCCACTTGGTTTTTATTACGTTCTTGTGTAATCACGTGAGAGCAACGGGCTGAGCAGATATTGTTCATCTCATCTCCATACACTGGGCTAAGACAGAAGACATAGGAGCAAAGCCAATCTAAAGAGTTGGCCGTGTTGTACAGATAGAAGATGTAGAAGAGCAAAGCAAATTTAAAAAGCTGGCAATGTTGGGTTTGAGCACTGAGCACCAAACTATTTATAGAAAGAGAAGAAAAGTTGATTTTTTTTAGGCCTGGGCCATACCTCTAGATATTGTGAGAAAGTAAGTGTCATCAGCAATAGTTAGCATAGGGCTGAGGTCCCCCAGCTGCATCAAACACCTCTCAGAAAGCTGAGCTGCTCCTCCTGGAAGCCTTCAAAAAACACTTTAAATTGATCACACTGGACTGTTGCCATGTTTAACATCCTTAATGATCCAGTTTTTAAAAATCAAAAGGCAATTTCTGGACACACCCAATTTTCTTATTTTCCCCCCATGGAGGAAACTTCATCTGCCAATGGGCCTTATTCCTGGCCCAAAATGGTATTTGAATACTAATGTATGCTTAATGGCATCTGTAATATTATAGTGTCCTTATCCACCAGTTTTGTAAGGTGCTTTAGGTCTAGAGATGGGCACAAACTGCCAAACTGGTTCACGCCACTTTGTTTCTTGGCCAAACAGGTATTCGTAGCTTTCCAGCCCTGCCTCCTCCAGTGGGGGCCCACTCAGAGTCAGTGCTCCGGCTTCCCTGCCCTGCCCTGCCTCCCCTGTGCACTGCCTCTGAATGGACACCCAACAGAGGAGGCAGGGCTGAGAACCGCCAAACACCTGTTTGGCTGAGAAATGAACCAGAACGAACTGCCATTTTCAATTACCGAACTTCAACCTAGAACTCTCTGTCCATCAGATACACCTGGCCTGACTTATTTTAAAGAGGGCTTAAAGAACCATTTTCCAGCTTTGTTCCATCTGAATATGTAACTCTTTTGAGTTATAATTTATTTCTAATGGCCTTTGGTCCTGCAGTTATGCAATTGTTTTATTGATTTGGATTGTTGAAAACATGGTTATATTTTCATTTTTTTAAAAAATTGTTGGCTTTCTTGTAAGGACATGATCTTAAAAGGCATCTTAAATATTTGTTTAAACAAACACAACCCAGTAGCTTTCCAAAAGTTCATTTTTTGAGAAGGAATATAGTCCAAAATACCTATCTAGAGAATGGGTCTTTATGCAGATTAAAATGAAGATTAATGAGGAAACGAGGCAGGAGAAATGTACACACTCATGCAAAAGTGACACAGAACAGCAATAGAATGACCCATTCACTACTTTGAAATGTTATAGTAGAAGGGTGTTTCTGGAAATGTTTGGGAAAGTATTTGGAAGCAAAATCAGGGTTTGATCCAAAATATGACTGGATTGAGTACAACAATCTATCAGACTGATCTCTACACAGGAAAACCTCCTCAGAACGAAAACAGACTGAACTGGTAACGCAAACAAAGAATTACACCAGTTTTAACTCCCCCCCCCCTTAGTGGCATCAACTATTGTCATCCCATCACCTTTGGACATGATGTTGCAGGTCCTCAAAATCATGATTTAAAAGCCGAAGGATGGATGACACTCTGAGTCCCCCTTCCCACATCCCTGAGTGATCAAACTGGCTTTTCATCTAACGTGAAAACAAAACCCTCCAAGCCAGGATCAGATCGAGAGAGAGCATGCGATTCCAGAGTTTATTCCTGATCCCTGAAAACATGGTGTAGAGCAGTGACTCCCAACCTTGGGTCCCTGGATATTCCTGGAAGAAAACTCCCTGAAGACTTTGACACTAGCTGTGCTGGCCAGGATTTCTGGGAGTTGTAGTGCAAGAACATCTGGGGACCCAAGGTTAAGAAGCACCAGTCTAGAGGATCAGAAAAGTGGCATCTGAACACATCTGGAGTCCTTCCATGATCGGCATTCTACCACCGGTATTGCCCAACACACCCACAGCTTAGTCTCCTGAGTAGTCTCCTGATAGCTATTGCTTTCCATACCGACGGTTAGACGGATCTCCTCTTGCTGATTGGCTAAGCCGTCGTAGTAAAACAGATCAAACCGCCGCTCCGCCCTCCAGTCCCCGAGTAAATCCTTGGTCAGGCAGAAGAGGACACTGAAGTGACTTTCGCTGCACACGAGCCATATGGGAAGCTTGGGGGTCTTCAAATAACAGCCAACCTGAAGAAGAGAGAAGAATGGCATCTTTTTAAAAAAAGAGATACCGGTATTTCAAACAAGAAGAATCATTTAGAACCCGATAACGGCTGCAGTGTCTTGAATTTCTCCAGATCCTTGCCCTTACAAAAGCAACTCCAGAAACATTTCAGACTAAGAGGAGAGACTCCTGCATGTTAGTGCTGTTCCCTAGTAGCTTAATTAGGCATTATTGATCGATTGATTCATTGCGACACCTGGATAGACTGGATTGCCCGGGTAGACGATCTTAAGGAGAGATGCTCCAACAGGCAATTCATTAATTACGTTGTTAATTATTGCATAATTAATATCTGAAATCTCAACCATGTTGGCAGAGCCAGTGATGGAGGTCCTCCTTCATGGCTTGGCCAGAACCTGGTGGGAAAGACTTGTCGTGGTGTGTCCCTGATCCTCTGCAGTTTGGGCTTTCAAGATTCCCTGCAGGGCCGAGAGGAGTAAAGCCCTGTAGGAAGGGGCCTCAAGACTACATCAGTCAAGATCACTTTCTAGATCCCTTGAGTGGATTTAGCCATAATGGGAGATTCGGGGAGTTACGATTGAAAAAAATAAATTTTTCACGCGCCGGGATGTATTTCTCGACAATATGAGGTGTTCCGTAACAAAGCAGACATCCTCAGAAGGTGGTCGGCTCTGCTTTTGTTAGATGTTTCAAGCAGAGGCTGGATAAAGGAAGCATACTTCCTTTATCAGTAAAGGGCGGCACGAGGCAATCTGTGGTTGTCCGTCTACCCAACACTAGCCAATCATTCCTTCCAGAGGTTGAATTCAGACAGCCCCGCCTCTTTGCTGAGTGTTTCTTTTCCTCTCTGTAGTCTGTTGGAGCAGGGTTTTGTTTGTTTATTTGGTTTCCTATTGATCTCTTCAGTTGGTTGCTAAAAATGTGTGCAGAAAGAAAGCAACGTGCACAAAACTGTAATTTCAAGCAACTGTAAGTAAAGAAACTTTTTAAAAAATCTTTCTCCTGTAAATGTCTCAGAGTGAGTTCTTGAAACTTTAAGTACTAGTCAATGAGAAAGGGGGAACTTGTAGCTATTTTCCTCTGCGGGTCTCTGTACTTCTACTGCATAGCAAAAGTAATTTTACTAGAAATTCAAAATTCTCTCATACATTTTCTCTCCCAAGCTGGATGGATCAACCATTCTCTGCCTCATCACTCCATGAATAACCCTTTAAAAAAGCCATTGTCCCACAGAACAGTTTTGCTTCGCTTGTTTGCTTTTTCAATAAATTCTTGAATTGTGAGCAGAGAGACCCAAAGTTATAAATAAGTTGTCAGAAAAAGACCAAAAGGCAGATTTCTCTCCGGGAAGATAATATCAGAAGGATTTCCTTTCTAAATACATGCATATGGCGGCATTTTGAAAATCAAACAAGTGGTTTGGCTCCTTCCCCTGCCCCAGCTCCAGAAGGAACGATTTCGTAAGAATGTCTTTTGATGTGAAATTAGAAACATGCCAAGATGTTTCTCTGGAGTAAAAACCACATACACGGCCCAAGTAAAGTGATTAAACTTTCTCAGTTCAAGGACAACTTTCCCACATTCTTAGGTCTTCTAATAAGCAAAATGAACTTTCATGGCTATCACAGAAAACCTGTGTGACACAGAGGATTCTGGGAAACAGCACATCTTGCACAATTGCCTCCAAGAGGATGCTGGCCAAGCTACTGCATCCCGTTTTTCCTCTGTGACAATGATGAGCAATTGTGGTCCTCCAGATGTTCTTTGTCTGCTATTCCCATCACCCCTTAGTCAGCACAGCCCATAAATGAGGAATGATGGAAAGGATTCAAACGTAGAGATGGGCACAAACTGCTGGGTTTGTGCTGGTTTGTTTACCAGCTGAACAGGTGATTGGTGCTTCCCAGCTCCGCCTCCTCTGGTGAGTGCCGACTCAGAAGCTGCGCCCTGGCTTCCCTGCCCTGCCTCCTCTGGGCGCTGCCCCTGAGTGGGCGCCTGCCAGAGGAGGCAAGAAAAAAACAAACTGGCACAAACCACTGAACCAGAAGTCCATGCCAATCTCTGAAAGCATCTGTAGAATAACAGCGCCTCTCTACAAACAAATACTATTTTACTACAAGGCACATAATGATCCTGGCTGAATTTGGCTGCTAAGCAGGGTTTTCTGTCTTCCTCAATTCCACAAATTGAAGCATTCAATGCAACCATGTACTGTAACTTTCCAAAGAAGGAGCCATGTTAAGTCCGCCACCGCATTTTGGCAAAATTGAAGGAGAGGGGAAAGGTGAGAAATAACAACCCACCAAGTACTAAATAGAGGGTCACTTTTAAAGACTAATGAATGGAGTTTCACCGTGAGCATTCATGGATTCACAATTCCCTTCTTCAAACACACAGGAGTGCTCCACCAAAAAGTGGATGATGAGCCACAAAAAAGTGCCGGCGGAAACAAATGGGTTAATCTTTAAGGTGCCATCATAGTTTATCCTGGGTTCCCTCCACTTTTCTGTCCCTTTAATTCTGCCAACATGCTGTGTATTGTAAGGTATGGTCCATAGACTGGGGAAGGGGGGGATTAGGGTTACGGTTTTTTGCTTATGTGTGTTCATTATTATTTCAGTTTTGTTTGTAATAATAATATTCTTGGAGGCCACCCAGAGTAAAGGCCTGTCCACTAGATGGAAAAAGTATAAGTTTAAAAAATAAAATGAATCAACTAAAGAAACAAATAAACAACGGTCAGCAAGCAGTATTTGAGGTCAGAGCACCCTTTGTTAACTGACCTTCAGATTAAAGGTCAATACTCTGTTGTCATCCCGCTCATGGATTTTCCAATATACAACTGGTTGGGTCATAATGTGAACAGAATACAGACCACATCAGGCTTTGTTCTAACACTATAGGCTCTTTTTTCCTATTCTTTCCTGGGAATAATACCTGAAGCCACCTCAAGGTCTGATTTGGTTAAATGTCCAAAAAGTGAAATCAGTTGCTCGGAACGAACCAAGACACTCACTCTCCACACAAGTTTAGTGTTCAAAAAGCTTCGTTCCTATTCTTTCATTAGTCTCTACAGCTCAGCTGTAGGAATATATAGTATTATTTGCAGCCTGGTTCAGCATAAGACAGAGCTAGTGTTCCCTTCTGGATGACCAAACTTCCGCGAACTTTGGGCTCACACACTTTCCCCTCCTTTCTCTTTATCTTAACCACAATATTAAGAATATGCCAGCATAAAATGGCTTGTGGCTTCAAAATCTTAGCTCACTGGAGTTTAAAAGAGAGGAAGCTGAACACATTCCATATGCATTGTCTCCGACGCATTTTGGGTATCACCTGGCAGGACAAAGTTCCAAATAGAGTAGTCCTAGAATGAGCTGGAATTTTTAGCATGTATACATTACTGAAACAGCAACGTCTACGTTGGCTTGGGCATGTCGTGAGAATGGCTGATGGTCGGATTCCAAAGGATCTCTTGTATGGAGAATTAATGCAGGGAAATCGCCCCAGAGGGAGACCCCAGCTGCGATACAAGGAGATCTTCAAGCAGGATCTGAAGACTTTAAGAATTGATCTCAACATATGGGAAACCCTGACCTCTGAGCGTTCAGCCTGGAGGCAGGCGGTGCATCATGGCCTCTCCCAATTTGAAGAGACCCTTGTCCAGCAGGCTGAGGCAAAGAGGCAGTCCCGGAAGCAGCAAAATCAGGGAGCTGGACAGGGGACAGTCTGTATTGGTCTTCAGTGTGGAAGGGATGGTCCCTCTCGAATTGGCCTTCTCAGCCACACTAGACGCTGTTCCAAGTCCTCCATTCAGAGCACATTATACCATTGTCTCTTGAGACTGAAGGATGCCTAATCGAATCTAGAGTTTAAACAAACGTCAGGTTCCCTAATCCAGACATGTGATTTCTTTCAAATCAGAAGGGGAAAAAAACCCCTCACTGGGGCTGTGAAAGAGGAGAGCAAGACAGGGTGAGGGCTCAAGGTTCACTCAAGCTCATTTGTCAGTACGGCAGGAAACCATGGTTCCCCATCACCTCCGAGCCCAGCCGATATATTGTCGAAGCTGAACCCAGCTGTGGCAAGGCTCGGGTGATACAGAGATAAGTGGCTTTGGCAAAACACAGAACAAATCCATTTGCCCGAAGGGAAATGAGTTGCTGGCATGTTGAGTTATTGTGTTATTATTATAGCACAAAGGTGATTCGAAACACCACCAACCCTTCATCGCTTTTGCATTGTTCCTGACACATTTACGGCAGGAAAAAAATGGCAGAGATGGGGCAAAATCAGAGCTCTTCCCTTCCCTCTTCTCTTCCAGGCAAGCCAGTCTTCATTGTTTGTCAAATGTCAACTCTTTCATGGAGGGGCACCTGAAAAGGCAAGCTAATTTTCAGCTCCCTGGGGGGGTGACGATGGTGTCTCTACACATGTTAGACTTTATTTCTTTTCCCAGCATGGTTGATTTAAGTCTCCTCGACACTACAGTGGCCCAGACAGGTCCAGGGGAATGACTTGTAAGTTCACCGCACGTTTACAGCAAGGAGAGAGGCATCGTCTCTGCAGCCAGCTCAAAAGGGATGAGGAGGAAACTGTTTCCAGGACTTGCGCAACTGTGCAAATGGAAACAAACTAGGCTGTGATTAGATTCTCCTATGCAAGTGGAGACATTATAGAAAGAATAGGGTACAAACACTTTGCTGATCCTTCCAGGGAAGGATAATGACATGCCAAATAATTCCTGCCTTGTGAGAGGGGAGTTGTTTTGTAGCCAGAGACAGGAACAACAATGGTTGTGTGCATGCAATGTTGTGCAAATAACGCTTTAGTGCAAATAATATAGATTCTGCAGACAGACGGTCGCTGCTGGGGTACTGCATGGACTTCCAAGGGCAACAAAATGGGGAGGAATTGTTTCATGGCTTGTTTTTGAAACCAAGTCCTAGGAGGAAAGATGGAAAGAACTGGGCATGTTTAGCCTTGAGAAAAGAAGACAGAG